GGGAGTGGTCAGATGCCATTTCAACCTGTGAAATACTTCATTAGCATGTTATCCGCATGATTTTCATTTGTGGGGTTCAAGAATCAACCGTTTGTTTTAGGTCTTTAAACAGAACATAATATCACTGTTGTTGAACACAAACCCATTTAGAGGAAAACAGATTAAACCACACAAAAAGTCGAATCAAGAAATGTTCTTTCTAACCAGAATGTAAAAAATGGACATGTTCTTTTGAACTCAGGATAAAGACCATAAACTTCACAGGAAAAACCTTATTTTCATACAGACCGTCATTCACCATTACTGGTACTTCTGAAAACACATTGATCCATTTCTGGGCTTTACTCTCGATCCTTAGAATTTTTTTTTTTAATGTACAGTCTACACCAGTGTTTCCCAACTTTTCGTTTGAGCCATGGCACATATTTTACATTAGCAAAATCCCATTACAAACTACTAACAAGAATTCTGAACTTGTGAAGATATACAGTGAACTTTGAGGGTGAATTTACTTACTAGTTTATAACTAGTGCCTGTTTAATTGATCAAACACAAATATTCTTGCAGGAAGTGAAGACATCTACACACATCTTTAAAAGCCTCTTTTTTTATCTTAGTTTTTATAACCATTTGCTGCCACCCAGTGGAAGAGCATTTAATTGTTCTACTTGTCACTGTCCCAAAGGCTATTGAAGACAACTTATTTGTAAAAAACAAATGATAGTTTTCAGACCTATTAGATAAAACTGGATAATTTTCCACAGTACAGCTGACGAACTCTCATGGCACACCAATGTGCCGCAGCAGTGGTTGGGACTCACTGGTCTATACTATAGCAATAAAGTACATGCCAATGTACACTATGATTATAATAATATTAATAATTAATACTCATTGTAGATTCCTGTAGGTGGGATGCTTGAAGTGCTATTTGATCTTTTTTAATTTAACCATTAGCCAATTTAACCATTTATTTTTTCATACCCACTCTACAACATAGAATACTTTCCTAAAGGCTAACGAATGACTATGAATTGATTAGGTAAAAAAAAAAAAAATACAAAAAGAAAAAAACAACTGGGTAGAAGCACCTTAATGCCTGGTGAAAATATTTTTAACTTATATCTGAACATTTACTATCTGGGTATGATACTGGATTAGTATTCTGGAAAATTGTACTACAGGAATCTTGGTCTAGACAAAAGAGCATGTGCTTCCATCTGATGACTGGACAGAGGTTAAAATAAATGTTCTTTTAAAAACACACGTGGCCAACCCATTCCAGTTGTCGACCATGGTTCGATCTTCATTACAAACACTAAAAATCCTCAACAGTACAGAACAGTACACTCCAAAAATAATACATGTCCATCAAAGGCCTTTTGTCCAATACACTTAGCTGCCATGATAGTGTTAGGCCTGGTGGATTGCATACACATATACATCATCTTCTATTATACACTGATATATCTTACAAATTTGCAAAATGGTTTCATACAAGCCATAAGAACATTTCCTTTTCATATCAAATAAACAGAAATAGGTAAGGTCTGCACATGCTGCAGGATCCATTTACAGTGCTATAAAAAACAGACAAATACATACACTGACGTTCTCAAAGTACGCGCACACACACGGTCCCACAAAGTGATCTCTTTTCAACAGGATGCACATTTTCAATATTAGTGTTTTGACTCTGATAACAGCCTTTATCTACGGAAGATTCCACAAAGCACCTGATCTGCTACATACTGAAAATATGGCTCCTTAATCTCACTGCTTGTTGTTTTCCATATCTTAGTTCCACTGACAGCCAATGTAAAACCTGGAGATGTATCATTGAAAAACCCTGGAAAATTACATTTGAATTTAAATGTTCATTTATGTCACATCTAACAAAGTGGGGAGATGATGGCTGAACAATAATTAAATATGAATTGTTACTTTAGATAACTTCTAATGCAATTTGTAATCTGTCCTTTACAAAATTATTAGCTCCCAAAAGACGACACATTGAGATATGTTCAATACACAGCATTCCTAAAAATATTACTTGTATGTTGGAATTATTAAATCATGAGATATATATTTTTACTTTGCATAAGTAAGTAATTAATTTATTTAAATCTAACCCCTAATCCAAAATTAGCATTCTTGTTTTGACGCGAATCAAAAATGATTTCTGAACGTGGATATTTTGAGAAAGATTTTTTTTTAAAACTATGTTAAGGAAATTTTTCCTAAATAATGATAGTATGTTTGAAAAATTGTGTTTATTAATTTTTCTTTAACCCTGTCTCCTATAAAAGGTTTAAAGGTTTTCCTTGACAAATGTATTTAGCAACTTGTAATAACCTGTTCTTGCTTACATATATGCATGTATGTATAGATGTGTGTATAAATATATATATATATATATATATATATACACGCACACATACACATATATACACATGCAGGATGTATAAGGATTTATAAATTTACAAGCTGGCCACATTTCTGGCCAGCATTACATTTTCAATAATTAGATTAGCACACTAAACTAACACCAAACACCTTATTGCTTTCAGTTTCCCCAACAAAGTTTCTCTACTGGAGACAACAGTAGCTCTGAACAGATTTTCTATTAGTTTCTGTTTTTCCAACTCAGCTAGGCCTTCATCCAGTCATATTTAAACACTGCTGTATTGCTGAAGACGTGGAGGTGCATTGTTGACAATGGTGACTGCTTGCACTAGCAGTTCTTGAAATCGTTACCTGGTGTAAAACATATCAGAGGTAAACAAAACAGCACCTTGATGATGTACAGTACGGAAATATCAGAAATTTGAACAAAGTTTAAATTCAACTTGGAGGTGACGAGTAGCAGGGTTTTCACTCAAAAGGCAGTGAGATGTTGGTTGTTGCTTTGCTGACAGGCACATGCTGAACAGACATCAATGGTGACAAATTCTGCTTTATGCTAGCATGGTGCTAAAAACACTCAGGACAACAAGATGCATTTTTGTTGAAAAAAGCTGTGTGGAAAATCCTCAGTTTACCCTGTTGATGATATTGCACCAGAATCTAATATTTCATGATGTGACACTTTGGTATCATCTCCTCTTCCAAGGGCTGCTATTACACTGTCATTACATTGTAACTATTCAACTCATTTTAAACTGGGGATGCTATGCAACAGACTACAGAAGAAAATGTTTTAAAAGGCGGAAACTAGGATCAATTAAGGACATCTCTGTTAAAAAGGACCAGTTGTACGTAAACTGGAAGGCCTGACAGGCAATATGAACAGTCAGAGTATTAAAACTGAAACTGTACTTCAGTGTGCAGGATACAAATTACTCAGATTTATGGCAGTAAAGGTCCTTTAGGGCTTTCAGCTCCTCAATGAGAGTTTTGTTTTGGTTCTCCAGCACGGCCACTCGGTTTTCCAGACACTTAACATACTCCTTCTTCTTCCTACGACATTCACGAGCTGCTTCTCTGCGGGAAGGAAAAGACAAAAACTGATTATTTCTTCTTTTTTTTTTAAACATTTTTTTGTATTAATTTTCAGGCTGTAGTAGTAGTTTTACAATAATCTCTTTGGATACTTCATAAGAGATTATACACTTTCACAATCTATTCTATCCAGTACACGTACTTACCAATGACAGTTGTCAAATAACGTTTTCTCCTTCTGCTCAATCAATCAGGCCTCCACTTCTGCTAAAACCATTCACATCATCCATCTGTTCGCCTTCATGTTTGAAGTACTCCCTCACTAATATATTTCTTCATCCTTAATCAACCTTATCTACTGTTCATTTACATACTCAATATCAAATACACAAAAATATTGGGGTTCTAAATAAAATACTTACCAACATTAAGACAATTATTTTGATTTGATGTGCAGTCCAGCCACAAAACCCTAAGATCAATGGTACATGGTGTACATTCTACAGCAGTAGATGCTGAGAATGTACATAAATATAAATACACTGTTTAACTTCTGGTTCATACCTGTTTTTCATTAAGCGGACCTCCCTTTTGCGAGTGACCTCCTCTGTGGCACCCTGTGTGGGGAGGGCAGCTGCAGAAGCCATGACAACCCCAGGGGTAATGGTGCTCGTGGGCGCTGCTCTAATCTGATAGGCCTGGACTTCACCTGAGGCACCTGAGGGGTTAATATAGTAAGACAATGAACGTCCCCTAACTTTTTCACATAATAGTAAAGTTTAGATCTTTGCTAAACACCTATGAATATGATAAATTAATCTAACTCATACCTTGGACAACGACCTGATTGCTAGGCACCAATATTTGTTGGCCGTCGCTGGTCTGTGCGTACTGGAGAATAGTGGTTCCCGGCTGGGCAGCTGCCGCATTGGTCATGGTCAATGTTGGCAGGCCTTGTACCCCGTCTGTACCATTGTTAGCCAGTTGAATAGCACCACCTTGTGTGATTGCAACTGGGTAATTTAGAAAAAAAAAAAAAAAGAGTTACAGTTTTCATAATTAGCTAATTTAAGCAGAGACGAATGGCTTGTAGACTGAGTGCTGTATAAAAAGTACCAGGTTCTTGTGACACTAGCTCTGTGCACTACAACATATTTAAGTCTGCCAGAAAGATCTTAAATTAACTATTCTTCCTGCAAATACTACATCAACAATACAGGCAATATATTTAATACAAATTTTATATGTATGTTTCCTGCTGTGTACACTGAAAAATATGCACTTTTCAGAACTCAACTCTGCAGAACTCACTACGACATACTGTATTGGCCGCTGCTGGTCTGGTAGATGGGTGTAGGGACAGTAACGGTGGTGATGGCCGGGGTGGAAACTGCAACCGAAGAATCTTCCTCTAGCTTTTCCTCCTCAATACGAGAGACAGCCGGTGCGTCAGATGAAAGGTCATTAAGGATTTTTCTGTTATAACAGAAAGTTTTCATTTTCAAAGGACTGCTACAAAAAACAGCTGAAAGTACTCTGTAATTTTATAGACAGGCTTCAGACAAATGCTATGACAAGGCAAGTAGAAGAGAAGCTCCAAGGTTTCAAAATAAGATGATCCAATTCAACAGTTAGGAAAAAAAATCAGGATAGAACCAAGATCGTGTTTGCCCAAGAAGTTACCTGTATGAAGGGCGACGTGACAGGATTTCTCTGCGTTTCTGAGAGTCAGTCACACTGTCTACTGACTCCTGTGAATCCTCACTTTCTGCTATAGTAGAAATCTGAAACAAAAAAAAAAGAAAACATCAAATATACTGTACCTTCAACATGCATGTTAATAACATTGTGTGTGTACTGTACCTGTACAGTCTGGAGATGTGGGGACTGAATGACAGACGGTTGTGCAGCCTGTATGACACCATGGACCTGAACTGTCTGTCCATTGGGAAGTTGGACCAGAGTAACAGTGGGGCCTGTTGCCGATGTATGGGCCGCTGTTGATACCTGGAAGCCAAATATAATATGCCTTTTATGTGCAGTTTGACATTAAAATTCTAGTGAAATTCAATGTACAAGTACGAGAGGCAGTGCCTTCCATAAGCATAAGTTGCATACGTAAAAAGAATTTTCTGCAATATTTGCAGAAAGCACCTGTGCTAAGGTAGCAATCTGTGCTTGGGTGATCTGCTGACTCTCAGTCTCTGTCACAGCAGTCTCCTGCTGAGCCTCCAATGCTGAATCCATCTTCATTGGTTGAGCTGAGAATAGAAAGTTGCAAAAAATGTCAAGTAAGACAATTTTATGGAGCTGCAGCTGCAGCATCTGTTATATACTGGGACGAAGTCGAAATTAGCGCAGCATTTTAAACAGTCCGTGTCCATCATCTATAACTACCTAATTCAACGTCTTTTAAAATAAATAACCACCACCAAACAGAGAGCTGAATTAGGGACCACAGACACCTTTTCTAAAATACTCCTCTCCTTTAAAAACAAAGCAAAATGACAAAAAAGTTTCACCATAAACACTAATATAATTCACATGTTTACACTGTGTGTTGCCATGTACTGATATGTTAACATTGTCAAAAGTAACTGTGGTTATAAGTCTCTGAGGGAATGGTTAAAACCTGAGTTGTGTGAAAAGGCATTAAACACAGACTGCACTGGTTTTCATTGCATTCATTTAGTGACTCAAGTCATTACTAGCACCACCCTTGACCATGATCAAGAGGATAAAGTCTGAGAAGTTATCAAGACCAGGGCTACTCATAATAATGGAGTTCAATTTAAAAGATTTAATTCATGTATTTAGTTAAATGTTTTTTAACCAGGTTAATTTTTTTGTGAACCAGTTTTTATTGCAAACATGATGTAAGAAATTGTTGGAAAAATATGGTTCATAAGCTAATTGGAGTTCCTAATATTACTCTTTAAGTAATCAACACAATATTCATAACGTTCACCTAAAATGCAATGAACTTCCACTATCTACCAGATGAAAACAAAAAAATTAAATAATCCTTTTTTCTCTCCATGTAATAACATAGAAGTTTTACAGACAACACAAATTGTAGAACATATATTTCCAATGCACATACACAAGATGATTGTTATGTATGTTTGTGCAGAAGACAATAAACAGAGAGAATAAAAACAAAGTATTTGTACAAAAAATACATTTATAAAAGACGATAAAAGAAGAATGAAATATTCAGTATAAAACTATAGTTGATATGCAAATATAGTATTTGGTGTATTATTGAAAATGGCCACCATCGTGTAAAGTTTGGACAACTGTAGTACAACCTATTTGAAATACTGTTGTGACTGGCTATTACTTAAGAGCATCCTGACATCGATACGTGTTCACGGAACTTCGTGATCTCACACTGTGCGTAGCTTCCCTGCGCTGCATGATTGGCTTTGCACACTTCTCCCTCTGCTTTTCAAATATCACTTGGACGCTGTCTGTGTATGTGTGACAGAGGAGACACATGGCAGGGAAACGCCCCCCCCCGAACGCATACAGCCCGGTCACATCCCTGGAGGGGAGCAAACATTTAAAACGTACAGCTCGACAAGAAGTCATACAACACACGAGCTGAGGTAGAAACACCCCAGGCCCGAGTTTGTGTTTACGACGAACACGGTGCGGCCTGTAATTTTGAATTATGTCGAAAGCAAAACGTGTAAAAAAAAAAAGGACATCAAGTGTGAGATTTACATACATGGCTGTGATCCCACATAAATTAAAAAACTAATCGAGTTCCTGAAATGGCGGAAAATGTATAGAGCAATAATGTTACAATGCGTTGAAGCGGGAAAAAAAGCGCAAAATGTGGCACACAAAGCCTCTTCTTCTAGCTGTAGTATCACGTCACATTATTGCGTATGTACGCTCCTAAAGAGTAGTTACAGTATCAGATGCGTTCACACGCTCACTGTCTCTCCCGCTTCACTGTCAATGCCCACACACTGGCTCCGTTTTTCTCCCCAAACAGCCGCAGCCTCCCCTCCCTCCATTCTGCTACAAACGCAACGCGGCGCCATGATCTCTTTGTTTCCTACGGGCCGAACCCGACCAAACCCACACCTTCTACAGCCACGTCCAGTGTCTCTGATGCGCGGACGCAACTCCGTCCTTACCAATACAGACTCTCTTCGTCACTCCCGAGCCTCCGGAGCTCCACTTTTATTCTGGCCGACACGTAAGAGCCCGCGTCAGGCTACACCTCCGCCGCGTCACCGGGAACAACAACACGAAGATTGGAGAAGAACGAGAAGCAGATGGCGACACTATCCGGAAATAAACGAAGTGACAGCGGAGAAGGACGGAAAATACCGACCGGAGACGAGTCGATACGACTGAAGACAACCCTCCTGACGTCCATCTTCTTGCTCTCCTTATTGTAATGGTCAACTGCTATCACCTAAAGCACTATCGCCACCAAGAGTGCAATAATGAAGACTACATGTATAGCTAAAAATACTGGCATCCAAATAATTCACGAATCAAAATATTATTATTTAAAATATATGTTATATTTAATACCTTAAAAACATCGTATACCTACATATACCTAAAATACCTACCTAAAATAGTATTCTTTATCTGAGCGTTATTGCACTTTGCTTCAATAAATAGTCACGATTGCAATTGTCATGTGGGGGATCTCAACACTATACAATAACTGTTCATTAACCTTAAACATGTTCTTCTTTAATGTGATTTATTCCTACGATATACAGAAAAATAAGTCACCAAAAACGACCCAAAAAATTAAAAACAAATAAACCTACAGCTAAAATTCGTTAATTACTTATTCTTGTGGTTATATGAAACACAAATGAGCATGTGTATCAGAAAATGCTTTTCTCATAGTAACCACCCGAGGGCAGCAAAGGACCATTATTCAAAACGCTTATGAGCAGCTTACAGTTTAGCAGTTGTTCCTTAACCTTTTTTTTTAGAGATGTACCAATATAAACAACATATATAACATTTACTTACTAAAAATATAAACTTGTCGACAAAAAGAAATACTAATACATATTTATTTGGTATACCATATATGCATATATAAATTAACCTTCACGTGCCACCTGGGCTGCCATTGTGTACATCTAGGGGTATGCAAACTCCCGTTGGAGAACCCCCACAAAAGTATAGACAAACACATATTACTACTCTTCATTGATAAATAAATCAAAAATAAAATGTAATGTAATACAATGTATAACTGAATATAAATGAAAAAGTGAACAACGTTTTATCATGCATTGATAGCAATAACAGGTCCAAGTCAAACATAAGCAATCTTAAATGCCTAACAAGTAGACGAATAAATTCTAGGCCTTTACCTTCCAACATTTGGTATCCACCTGGGATCATATAAACTTCCTGTTAATGAATCATGAGTCAGAATCTCCAGAGCATCAAAGATTATATGCAGCTTGGAGGAAAAACATCTATCTATCTATCTATCTATCTATCTATCTATCTATCTAGATATGTAATATCAACACGAATACTTGCTATCACTGTATACATTAGAAATGTCTTCAGATGAGCCAACAGAAAACAGTTGCCGTTTCTTTTATTAATATAAATCAAGAGTGCTCTAATGAACTCAAAATAAAAGAGTAAACATGTACATTTAAATAATTCATCTGCGTTTTGTCTTCTGAATCATTCGACCTAGGCTGGAAGAGGAGATTGCTCTTTATCCCCAGATGGGGGCACTGTAAAGCCACTTAAGCTTCGCGACCATGTGCTCCCAGCCTCTACCTCCACTCTTCCTCCTTCTCCTACACCTCTTTCTCCTCCTCCTCTTCCTCCCCAGACCAGGCTGCTGGTATGTCATCACGCAGATATGGGGAGTTTATCAAGGCAATTCCTTTTATAATCCTCCTGATGCTCGTTGCCTATGTTTTATCTGTTTAATAGCATTTTACTGCTCCACGCCATAAAAAACAACCTTTTTATTGTGACACCAAACACATTGTTTGGGGAATTGACCCTGTCTGGGTAATGAACAGCAGTGATTTTGCAGCTAGTTATAAAAAGGGTGGAGGGATATTAGGGGTATGGACAGTTTTGACCCAGAGCAGAGAGGAGGGATATTTAATATTTCAAAGGAAGAGGTGAAGCTTTTTTCTTCAGCCCCCCATTAGACATTTCAACATGGTTGATCTTTAGCTGTACTCCGGTTTACCAGTGTGAACGTCCATCACTTAACAGTACCTTGTTCTTAGCCGCAACAAACAGTGATCTTTGATTAGACTTTAAATACAATCAAATAATCCGTTTACAGCATCTGTTTAAAAGTAACAATGGTAATGAGAGACAAAACAAAAAAAAAGTACAAGCACCACCACAGAGGAAAACATTTAACTGCAGTGATGACCTGTTGCAGAGAGGAGCTCGAAAGCATGTTCCAGATCACACTTGTGCCAGTCCAAAGATGCACAAGGTCATGATAGAATCTATGAATCACCAGATTTAGGGACAAACTGACCAAATTTGAAGATCTCCATTTAATAAATCAACTTAATAAAACCAGGACTATCGTTGTTCCAATACATAGTCGAGACACGTTATTAACACACTGAGGAAAATATATATACAATCTCAATGCTCATCATGGATCTGTGCGGGCTTCAGCTACAGGTCAGAGGGTTCGGCATGTGTCAGACCGACGTCACTGAGTGTGTGGCAGTAAGTGAGTCTACGACTGACAAGCTGACTGACACAACTGTCAAATGGATTGACTGTAGACTGATTAATAGTTGTTGAGCACAACGGTAGCTTTACCAAAGTTTTTAAATAAATTCTCATAGCGCACAGTAATGACAACATTTCACCAACTCTATTAAGCAAAATTTTGAGTTCCACTTTATCATATTTTTCCTGACATTTGTATATATTAACAAGTCCATAATTTTGATTGGTCAAAAATTGCAACAGGTAGAAAACACATACATCTACATGAAATTTGTTTTTGTCATGTTGATTTATCTTGATTATTTTGGATTAATAATGATTCATTATTGACAAATCTATGGTTTTCCTGTGATTAATCATATTAAAGTAGTGTCATTGTCAGAAGTGCAATTTGTCAGACTTAAAAAAGCCTTCCCAAAGTTGGGGGAGACCTAATTTTTAGGGCTGAATTTTGTGGCAGAAATGAAAAATAGATATCAGACACACTTTCTGAAAATGCTCTGTATAATAATAATAATAATAATAATAATAATAATAATAATAATAATAATAATAATAATAATAATAATAATAATAATAATAATAATAATAATAATAATAATAATAATAATAATAATAATAATAACACTTAACAGTAATAATAGTAATAATAATAATAATAATAATGTCTATAAATACAATTGAATGTTCAAGATTCCAGAATATATTAAAAAAAAAAAAACTGGTGAAAAATAGTCTTGTGAGTTCCATTAGTGACCGCTCAATGATGCATTTGATGTCATTGTCATTTCTGTCCTTGTCATCCTTTGTTGTATTCAGTTGGTGCCGAGGCTCAAATGATTTCATTTTCAGTTTGTTTTTTCCTCTAGTGGAAGTGACGTAAGGACTCTCCTCTAGTCCTTACGTCAACTCCAAATCCTAGATTTCCCTCTTTACCAGTGTTAAAGTAAATCCACAACTGGAAAGAGTTTTTGAGTCTAAAGTGGGTGTTGTTTACAAGATGACGACTAGTCACATTTTCAGACATTTTCAGTTTCATCATTGCTGTCACTCATGTGGTCACACATTGAGAAAAAGATTTAAAATGTAACTTCTGATTTATATGCTCTTAGACATGTATGTTTTTTCAATTAAAACATTCAGGGTGTTGCCACAGCTAAATGATCTGCCTTCTTTTAATCTTTCGTCCATACTGAGTCGTTTATTATCAATTATCATTTCATCTTCCATCACTACATCTTCACCTCCATCCTGACAGTTTTTTTAACATCCGTTGTCCATTTAACAAATAGCTCTGCTCAGCACGTGTCCAAACCGTGTTAACCTTGGTTCTCTGACTTCATCTCTAATCTATTAACTCTACCCCCTCCCTCTGATTTGCCCATTTCGAAACCCTTCCATCCTGCTTTCTCCCATTGGAACCCCTTTGACCTTCAGTTTAACCTCCTGTCCTTTAGG